AAAAAAAAAAGAATAAATAAATTAATTAATAATAAAGAGTCCAGGTTAAGTCAGGTTTAATGGTGCATGCCTGTAATCTCAGCGCCTCCAGAGACTGAAGCAGGAAGATCTCAAGTTCAAAGCCAGCCTCAGCAATTTAGTGAGGCCTTAAGCAATTTAGTGAGACCCCATCTCAAGATAAAAAATATAAATAAAAAGGGCTGGAGATGTGACTCAGTGGTTAAGCACCCCTGGGTTCAATCTCCCACACCAAAAAAAAAAAAAAAGTCTATAGCTAGGAGGCTGGGGACATAGCTCAGTAGTAGGAACACTTGCCTGGAATGTGCAAGGCCCTGGGTTTAATACCTAGTACTGAAAAAATAAATTAAAAAAAAATCCACAGCTAACATTATACCTAGCAGGGAGAATCACAAAGCTTTCCTGCGAAGATCCAGAAGATGYCCCCTCTAATCCCTCTAATTGCTGTTTTTTTATTTTATTTTATTTTTAATTGTTGATGGACCTTTATTTATTTATTTGTATGCGGTGCTGAGAATCAAAATCAGTGCTTCACACGTTAGGCAAGTGCTTTACCACTGAGTCACAATCCCAGCCCTCTAATTGCTGTTTTTAATATTGTACTGGAAGTCCTAGATAATGCAGTATGACAAGAAAAGGAAATAAAAGGTATACAGATTGGGAAGAAATAAAGCTATCTTTGTTTGCCAATGACATGACTGTCATTCACCTACAATAAAATGAATCTAGACACAGAATTTACATCCTTCTCAAAAAGCAACTCAAAATAGATCATAGAACTAAGTGTAAAACACAAAACTCTAAAACTCCTAGAAGGCAACCCAGGAGAACACCTATCTGAGTGTGGGTATGGCAATGACTCTTTTTTGATGCAATAACAAAAATGTGACCTGTAAAAGAAATAATTGATAAGCTGGACTTTATTAAAAATTAAAAATTTCTGCTCTACAAAAGACAACATCAAGAGAATGAGAAGACAAACGGGAATGGGAGAAATTATTTGCAAACACTGTAACTCTCAAAACTCAATAATAATGAACTACCCAGTTAAAAAACTGGCAAAAGATTTGAGCAGACACCTCCCAAAGAAGATGCACAAATGAAAAGTGAGTGTAGGACATGTTCAACACCATATATTGTTAGGGAGATACCACATGCGTCACACCTATTAGAATGCCTAAATTCAAAATACGGGCACCACCAAATACTGGTGAAGATGTGGAGCATCAGGAATGCTCATTTGTTGCTGGTGGGAGTGCAAAATGGTATAATCACTTTGAAAGACAGTTTGGTGGTTTCTTACAAAAAAGAACAAATCCATACCATATATACGGTAAAGCAATCATCCTCTTTGGTATTTACCCAAATGATCTGAAAACTTAAGTCCACACACAAACCTGCATGCAGATGTTTATAGCAGCTTTATTCCTAATTGCTAAGCGTTGGAAGCAACCAGGATGTAGGTGAATGGATAAGTAAACTGTGATATATCCAGACAGTGGAACATTGTTCAGTGCTAAAAAAGAAGTGGAGTATCAAACCATGAAAAGACATGGAGGAAACAAATGCATATTATTAAGTGAAAGAAGGCAATTTGAAAGGCTATGGATGTTATCCAACTCATTCTGGAAGAAGCAAAATTAGACAGTGAAAGGATCGGCGGTTGTCTGGGAATGGAAGAAGGGAGGGATGAACAGGCTGAGTACATTAGAAACTGTTCTGAACTCTCCCTTGATAGATGCTTGTCAATATACATTGGTCAAAGACCTTAGAAGGTACAACACCAAGAGTGAACCTTCAAGTAAACTATGGACTTTGGGTGATGATGATTTGTTGATGTAGGTTCATTTTTGTGACAAATGTACCCCTGGTGCAGGATGTCAATAGAGGGGGAGGTTGTGTGGGGTGAGTGGATAGAAAGTATATGGGATCCCTGTACTTCAGGCTCAATTTTGCAGTACCCCTAAAAACTGCTGTAAAAATAAAATTTGTTTTTCAAAAAACAAAACTCAAAATACTCCAGAAAGATGAGTCCTGAGAGCCTAATGACAATTTGGGTCTAGCTTCACCTGGGACACTTTACCTTTTCATCATTGCTTGGTCCCTTCTTCCAGCCTCTGGCCCCCTTCTCCTTCTGGCTGCACCCATTCTCAACTACTCCCTTCTTCTAAATCTGTCTCCCTGGACTCCTCCCTCCTCCCTCCTCAACACCTGCCAGGCTCTTGAAGATGTGCAAAGCTGGGCTTTCCCTTGGCAGAGGGCCTGACATCCAGAGTGGGGGGTCAGAGGCTGATCAGGGCTCAGGGTGCTCCTCCTCTCTCCTGCAGACTTCCCTCTCCACACCCATGTCCACCCCTAACTCCAAATTCCCTTCCTTCCTTTGCATCCATCTTGCCTCTGYCAGAAGCTTCCATGCATTGCTCACCCCCCCTGGGCCTCCAAAGCCTGACCCCAGACACGGGGAACTTTGGGCATTTGTGTGCATGTTTTGTACATGTGAAAGTCACAGGATGTGTGTGCATGTGCATCCGCGTGGCTTATTCTGTGTGTGCATGGATGTGCAGTGTGAGTGCTAGGCTATGGTGTGTGTGCATGTCTGGGTTGCATATGGGTATGCATCGTTTGATATTTGAGGGACCTCCCGCTCAATGCTGTGGTCCCCTGGAGGACCAGTCTCTTGGCTCCTTTCAAGCCCCCAGGCACCATCCCTTTTCCATGCAGGTCTTCCCCCGAGGAGAGACCGGAAGAACTCCCTCCACACTCCCTTTCTCCCTGCCCAGTCCCACCCCCCATGGGTTACCCCTCCTCAGATGATCCCAATGTGCCCCTGGCTTCAAGCCTAAGAATCGGAAGCCTCAGAGAGGACTCTGAAGCCTCCTGAAGTCAGATAAGTCTTTCTAGGTGGCCTTGAAGTCTGGCTAAGGGGAGTGAAGTGGAACTATCCCTGGGGAGTGAGCAGGGTGAGATGGATGGCCAGGAACAGGATGACGGAGCCCTCAGGGAGTTGATGGGGCTGGGGACAACTAAAAATATGGGGGTGTCATCCCTAAAAAATTGAGACTAGGCTATGGCAGCCAGGTGAGCTCATTGGTCCAGGAGCATTTGCACAAAAAGTCTGAGCGAGGGATCAGCACTGGAGGCTTTACTGGTTTTGTCTAGTCATTTCTCTGGGGTGGAAGGGGATGACAGCTTAAAATGGATTTTCAGGAATAATGGATTCCCTTTCTTGGTTCCCGGCACCGAGCTGCAACACAAAAGAGACAGTGTCACTGGGGTCCCAGAGAGAGGGTGACAAAGGAGGGGCAGGCCCAGGACCTGTCCAAGGGAGGAGGTCCTGGGGTCAGGGGCCTTCTGCTGCATGTGGCTGGGCAACTGATGTTCTGGTCTGTGTCCCTCCATTACCAGAGGCAAGGACCACTACACAGCCTTGTCCCCTCACTGTCCCTCCACACAGTGTCCTTGCCCAGGGCTCCAGACAGCACTCTCTGCAGGGCAGACACCAGCAGAGTAGTTCCACTTTCTAATACCGCATTGACCCTTCCCACTTTGAGCCCAGGTCCCCGCTCTAGACTGGGAGAGCTCACCCTCCATGGTCCCCAAGCCTCCTTCGGCCCTGGCCTTGGCACTTCACCTCAGTCCACCGGAACTTCGTTTCCAGTAGCCTTTATGAGGTCACTGAGGTTGAGGCTTCACTGAGCTGCAAGTGGCCCTGCTCAGCGCCCCCATTCCGCTGTTCTTTACCCCTGCCCAGCTGGGCAAGCAATGAGGCCCCACAGTTGTGGCCCTTAGGGGAGTTGTACCCAGTCTACTCACTCTTCCTTGCATTCCTGCAGCGTGGCGGGGATGTCCTGTGTCGGAAGGAACTTCACTTCCCCCTCAATGGTGGCTCTCTTGATCCCAGGTTTGAAGTCTAGGTAAGAAGGGAAGCTCTGTTTTTCCTGTTCTGGAACTTTCTCTGGCTCCTTGGCTTTGGGTGGATTCTGAGGCTGCAGAGGCTCTGTACAAGGTTTCACAGGCTCTTTAGAAGGTGCCGCAGACTTCCGGGATGGAGCTTTGATCATTTGTTCTAAACTGGGCAACTCCATGTCGTTGGAGGCTACGGCCAAGGAAGATGCGAAATTGATCAGCTCTTCCAGGCCGATGGATGGCGGGAGGCTGGAGGTTGACAGACAAGGGCTTGATAGTGGCTGGGAGGTTGTGACTTGGCGAAATGTCAGGGCCCTGGAGATCTGGAGCATATTCTCAGGGCACAGTGTGTTTTTGGGGTTGGACTCCTGCTTTGGGTGGCTGGGGGTCTTCTCTGTGTCTCTTTCTTTGGACTGCCTATTTATTGCCTGTTGCAGGCTGTGCTCTGATGCTTGGATGAGCTTATTTGCCCAGAAGAGGTGCTTGGAAGTCTGTACGCGGATGGAGCGTTGCTCAGGGCATGTCAGTTCTTTCCTTGGGACACTCTGGAGGCTGGAGTTGGAGCCTATCGACCAACCCGAGAAGGTCCTTGGTATCTCCTCTGTGTAGGGATGGAGGGTCTCTATTGTGTAATATTGCTGCTCGGTGTGTTCGCAGCCAAAATCCAGAGAGCTCATCTCCCAATAGGGGTCATTGTGTGACTTAGCTTCAGGCCCCCTCTCTGGGATGTCTACATCTGAGTTGTCTTCCAGATCTGGGACTGAGTCCAGGTGCGAATCCACATTTGCTCTGGGCCGAGGCTCTTGCTCTAGCAATTCGTCCTCCACCTGAAAGATTTCAACTAAAAGCTAAGGAGGCAAAGCTGGGTGTCCCTGCCTGCAAGGTCCTTCCTGGCACCAAAGACCTGCCTGGGGCAGGAGACAGTGTGGGTGGGTGATGGGGGTGTGTGGGGGGTGTGAGCTGCCACACCAGTCTGGTACTAAGGTCCCAGAACTGTCAAGGATAAGGGTTGGTGGGGATTTAGGAAAGGTGGTCCTCAAAGACTCTGCTCCTTGCCTACCAACTCCCCATATGGGGGGACCTTGTCACTCTCACCTCTAGGTCTTCTTCCTCTTCTGCTAATCGGGGATGGGGCCGTGGGGAGTTGAAGTCATCCCTAAGACAAAAGAAGTCAGAGTGGGTGATAGGGATCCTCCAGGTTGGCTCAGGGGAAAAGGGATCTCTGAGACTCTCAAGACCTCTTGTCTTATACAGGGGCTGGTAAGATGACCTCACTAACTGACCCACTCCTCAGTGTCCCCGCTCCCACAAAGAGCATGATATTCTTAAGTTCCAGTGAGTTTAGAAAATTCCTAGGAGGTTTGCCAACTAATCTGTTATCCCCACAGTGGGATTGGGTGAGTTGGARGAGACACAGGGAATCTTCATTTTTATGGAGCATCATAGGTGAGCCCACATATCTTGCTTTGAGAACCAAAGCTCAGAAAAAGGGCTTCCTACCGAGGGGAAAGCCCAAAGCAATGTCCACCCACCTGCCCATTCCCAGCTTTGCAGGTCTGGAGACCAGAGATGTGTGTGGATGGGAAGTTTCTCTCTGTTGCTCTTGACCCTTGCCCTCCGTGCTTGGCTATTGTTATCCCTGATTCTTCCTTAGGCACCTGCCCACCCCCCTCCTGACAGCTCTGTCCTGAACAGGCAAGGCCTCTCTCAGTAGTCAGGCCCTATCCATATCCCCGCTGTGCCCCATCACCCTCAGCCTTCCTCCAGTGTCAGGGACTGAAGGCAGAGAGAGAAGAGGAATGGTAGACACCCCCACCTCCAGACTTTTGGCCTGGATACTGATCTTGGGAAGACTTTAGAAATGGGCCAAACGGAGGGAAATTCTAGGTGTGGTGGGGGGCCACATGGATTCAGGGGGCAAGGGTAGGAGGGGGGAGACTGGTTCTCACGGTATCTCCACGATGTCCACTGCCCCCTTGCCACAGCAGGGAAATCCATTAGCACCTGGCAGGGAGAAGGAGATCAGGGTGGGGAGCTGCAGGGTGAGGCACAGTCCTTGAGGGATCCTGGAGTCAGGGCTAGTGGTGCTGTCCAGCCGCCTCCCCCTCCCCACTGCCTCACCTCAGCCTGCCTGCCATCCCCTCTTCCAGCTCATCCCTCCTCTCTGTCCCCTTGCCACATCACCAGTCCTGTCCTCCATATCAGCTTGCCTCCTGGCCCCGCCTATCCCACCTCCATCACCCCAGCCACAAGATCCAGAGTCTTCCCTTCCGCTGATGGAGCGCTTCCTCTGCCCCAGTGCTGTCATCTCACTGTGCCAAATATTAGAGGGGCTCATTTGCCTCTGGTTCCACAGCTGGACTTGAACAAAGTCTTAAGAAACTCTCTCTCTCTGCCCACATTGCTGTCCTCTACAGGAGCCTGTAACTGTAGGGGCCACCACGCCCCAGGTGGACCTTCCTCTTCTCCCTCTATTTCTGCTCCTCTGCTGCTTGCTGTCCTCCCCCAGCCCATCCATCCCCACCCAGGCCAGTACCCTAACTTCAGGGGCTTGATCTGAGGCAATGCCAGCACCTCCCTCACTGGTGATTTGTGAGTTACGATCACCCTCTGCAGAGGAGGCTGAGTGACTCCCAGGACTGGTCCCCATACCAGGCCCCTCCCTGGAGACTGTATCTTCTAGTGCAGAAGCTGCTCTTTATCTTCCCCTGGGATGATGACACCTGGTTGTCCCATTCTCTGCTCCCCAGGGTAGAGGATAAGAGTTCATGGCAGAGTGATTCGGGGGTGACGGGGGCAATCATGCATCAGGCACAGCGGGTCCCCATGAACCTGGGCTGGGGCAGGAAGTGACAGTCCTGGTTCTGGCTAAGAAGAACATGAGAATGTGCTGTGGTCTCTTCTTGGAGATGTAGACTGGAGGGCAGTGGTCCTTGCAGGTCTGATCCAGGGGTTGGTTTGGGATCTCTGTGCTTCCGCCTGGGCCTGGAGATCTTGTAGTAACTGAGTGGTAAGGCTTTGAGGGTATCTCCATGGGCAGGACCCCAACGGCCAGTTCTACTTCCTTGACCACAGCTCCCCTGGCTTCCTCCACAAGTCTGCTGCTCCATCTCCAGCTCCCCCTGGCCCAAGCCTGGCTCCTCTGCAGCCTCTGAGTGGACAGCCTTCCTTCACTTGCTTTACAGTTTCCCTGGGCAATTTGACCAACACCCACAGCCTCAACCCTTCCATAAGTAGCAACTAGGTATGGACAAGGGGGAAATGATTATGGAGTGTGGGGACTGGAAAAAAGTCTGAGGTTGACTCCACTTGAGACCTCTGTGCCTGACTTAAGGATGTTCTATTGAGGATTCAAGTAACAGCCTATGGTCTATAAAATAATCCCAATTTCCAATTGTTGCCAGTGTACAGAAATACATTAAAACTGGGTACAGACAGGAGTCTCCCAAGTTTGAGGACAGCTTCAGCAACTTAGCAAGGCCCTAAGTAACTTAACAAGACCCTGTCTCAAAATAAAAAATAAAAAGGGCTGGTAATGTGGCTTAGTGGTGAAGTGATTCTGGATTCAATCCCTAGTACAAAAAAAAAAAAAARKTTTTTTTTTTTTTCCACAAGGTATATTGGTGACTAATTTTCCTTTCTTATGATGAGTTTTGATATTAGATATTAGAATGATATTTGATATTAGAGTGATTCTGGCCTCATAAAATGCCTTGGAAGTATTTGCTCTTTGGTTTTCTGGAAGAGTTTGTGCAAATAATTGGTATTATTTCTTCCCTAATGTTGGTAGCATTCACAAGTGAAGCTTATGAACTTGGGCCTGGAGCTTCCTTACAGTATGATTGTGAATTACATGTTTTAAAAGCTACATGCAGTGTGTTTTGCCTATGTTTTCTTTTCATTGTGGTAAAATATGTCTAATAGTGTGTGTGTATGTGTGTGTGCTGGGGACTGAACAAAGCCCCAGTGCATGCTAAGTGCATCCTATACACCCCCTTATTTTAACCATTTATATAGTCAAGGGCCATCAAGGTGCGTACACACTATTGTGCAACCATTGGCACCATCCATCTCCAGAATATCTGTTTCTTTTTTTCTTATGATACTGAGAATTTAACCCAGGGGAGCTCTACTACTGAGCTACAACACGAGCTTTTCTTATTTTGAGACAGGGTCCTGYTAGGTTGCTGAGGCTGGCCTCAAACTTTCTATCCTCTTGCGTCAGCCTCACAAGTCCCTGGGATTATGACATGTGCCACTATGCATGACTGTTTCTTCTTGAGTGAGCTTCCAAAATTTTTGTCTTGTAAGGAATTGCCCATTTTATCTAAGTTGTCAATTTCATTTGCATGAGTTATCCATTGCACATAGGTAGAATCTGTAATGATATCATCCCTTTCATTTCAGATAACTTTGGTTCTCTTTCTTCTTGGCTGGGGATTTATTAATTTTGTGGATCCCAAAGGACCATCTTTTGGTTTCACTGGTTTCTTCTGTTTTCTGCTTTTTTTTTTCATTGATTGTCACTTAGCTCTTTATTCTTTTGCTTACTTTGGGCTTCATTTGCCCCAATCTCCTTTGTGAGACAAAAACTGACATACAGATTTGAGGACTTTCCTCTTTTCTAACATTGGAGTTTATTGCTGTAACTTTAGCTGCATGCCACAATTCTTGGTGTTATGTGTTCATTTTTGTTCAGTTCATAATACTTTCTAATTTCCAATTTGATTCTTTCCTTGACACATGAGTTATTCAGAAGTGTACTTACTATTTTTCAAATATTTGAGTGTTTTCCAGTTATCTTTTTGCTATTGGTTTTTATTTTAATTTTATTGTGGCCAGAGAACATACCAAATATGACTTGAATCCTTTTAAATTTATTAAATTTTTTAACAGCCCAGAATATGATCTTTGTTGTAAACTTAGTGTGTATTTGGCTATTGTTGGGTGGAATATTCTATAAATGTCAATTAGGTCATGTTCATAGGTAGTATTGTTCAAGTCTTCTATATCTTTGTTGATTTTGTGTCTACTCTCTCTATTAATTTTTTAATATATATACACATATACATATACATGTATATATATTTATATACATATTTATTTGTCAATGATCCTAAAACTTTATTTTATTTATTTATTTTTATGTGGTGCTGAGGATTGAACCCAGGGCCTCACACATGCTAGGCAAGTGCTCTACCACTGAGCCACAACCCCAGCCCTCTATCAATTTTTGAAAGGGGAGTGTTGAAATTTTTTAACTATAATTGTGGATTTGTTTCTTTCTCTTGGCAGTTGTATTTTTTTTCTCTCTGTATTTTGAAGCTCTAATATTAGGTACATAAACATTTAGTATAGTTATTCCCCCACTTTTTTTTTTCCCCCCAGTGATGCCGAGGATTGACCTCAGGGTATTGCACGTGCTAAGCACATGCTTCACCACTATGCTGACACCCAGTCTGCTTTTGGGGCTTAAATCTATTGTCTATTATTAAATCTATTGCTTTTGTTCTCTTTTCCTTTTTTATGTCTTCTTTTTTTTATATGCAGAACAGATTTTATAATTTTCTTTAAAAAAATTTTTTTTAGTTGTAGGTGGACACAATACCTTTATTTTTTATTTATTCATATGTGGTGCTGAGGATCGAACTCGGCACCTTACATGCACTAGGTGTGCACTCTACTGCTAAGTCACAACTCCAGTCCCAGATTTTATAATTTTCTATCTTTGATATAAAATGTGTAGGTTTACATGTATTTTGTTGTTGTTTTAATTTTTTTTTTTTTTTTTTTTGGAACTGGGGATTGAACTCAGGGGCACTCAACCTCTGGGCCACATCCCCAGCCCTATTTTCTATTTTATTTAGAGACAAGGTCTCACTAAATTGCTTGGTGCCTTGCTTTTGCTGAGGTGGCTTTGAATTCCTCCTGCCTCAGTCTCCCGAGCTTTCTTTTGTAGCATATATTTTTTTCGATTCCATTTTATCTTTCCTGTTGACTTTTTTTTTTTCTGTAGACTTTTATGAGCTACAACTCTGTTACTTTAGGATTTATAAAATACTTTTTTAATTTATCCTAGGTTCAAAGGGTAGTATACTGCTCTACAAATCTACAACACACCTTCATTTCCTCTTAGCCTGGTATTTAATATTTTAAATATTTAAAAAAATGACAGTAGTATAAATTTGTTTGCAATGAGTAAGCACACGAGGGGGACCTACAAGCACATCAGAGGGTCCATTATGTCTTTAGAATGTGGATAGCGGAGGATTGGCACCTGATGAAGAGGTGGAGTCAGAAGTAACTCCAGCTGAGGAGAAAGAGCAAGTAGGAGGAGGATGAGCCCACCTGTCCAGGTGAGTCCCGGGGGGGCCAACTCAGAGAAACTAGAAAGGACAGAGCCATGGGCTGAATGTGCTCCTTCCCCACTGTAAGTGCTGTACCCGTGGCAGCCACATGACCACCACCAGGAAGGACTTCCACATTCTGGCAGGCAGTGGTCCCCACTGATGTGTTTGGTTCCTGCCTGGTCATCTTAAAGTGCTGTCTGCCAGGAACTAGGTCCTAGAGTCACAAGGGTCTCCATCAGCTTTTTAATTATTCTACTCTTGAACATGGACAACCAAGKATTACCAAACACATGTCAGTAGCAGATCAAGAGAAAAGATGATCCTAGAGTACCAGAGGTAATCTGAGAAAYAGAAAGAGCTCAAAGAGCAACTAAACATTTTTTAGAGATTCAAGAATGAATGACTCCATTTAATACATTTTACATCAAAAATAAGAACAAGATGTTACGAAAATTATAGAAGGAAATAGCTTTGGCAAATAGGTTTAGAAAATTAAAACAGAGAATATCCCCAGAGGTGGAATCAAAATGTAAGATAACATGAAAGAAAAGGATCATAGGAGATCCATTTCTGAATTCTAGAAAGGAGATCAAGAATARAGAACACAGAGRGCTGGGGAYGTAGCTCAGTGGTAGAGGGCTTACTTARTGTGCTCGAGGCCCTGGGTTCATTCCCCAATAGCCCCCAAAGTAAAACACAACAACAAACAATAGCAAACACAAGAGAAGAAAAATCAAAATCTCCCTGAGCCCAAGAATAAAACGGAAGGATGCCCTAGTTTAAAAGAGTTCACTGAATGCCAWCTTGACAGATGTCAAAACATCCTTGCTGTGAAAGTACATTACATCAGTAACAAACAACTCCTAAGTGCTTCTAAAGAGGAAAACCCAGTAACCTACAAACAGAGGAAACTCATACTGGTAGCAGACTTATCAACAGTGGTTTTATTGTAACTAACTTGCCTTTAAATTCGGAGGAAAATGAATTTTATATCCAGCCAAACTGTCATTTCAGATACACACACACACACACACACAAAAAAAAAAAAAAAACAAAATTTACTTTCTCTTTTTTAGGAAATTATTTGAATATGTATTAAAGCAAAATGAATATGTACAACAAGAAAGTCTAGAAGGAAATAACATGTCCATCCCAGCAAAGTAGCCAAGTCCCAGATATCTACTGGATAGAGGCCAACAATCAGTTCAGCTTGGTGCAGCAGAGAGTTCTAGATAGTAGATCTGAAAAAGAAAACCTGACCGAATAGTTGACCAGACATGGCAGTTGAGGAGAAACTAACACTATGATAAAACCAAAGGGTATAAGAAAAAGGCAATAYGAACTTCCAGGAAAAACAAAGAGCTGGGTAAGAAAGAAAAGGTAGGGGCTGGGCTATAGCTTGTCTAGCACATGTGAGGCCCTGGGTTTAATCCTCAGCACCACATACAAATGAATAAATTGAATAAAGGTATTWWAAAAAAAAGAAAGAAAAGGTAATCATGATACCTTTTTCCCCTGGTTTTTGCAATGAAAAGAAGTTACAATAAAACAATCTTGTTCATTAACTTTCAACTTTTAGACTCAATATCTAGAAAATATTTGGAAAACGTGACYGTGGTTATGGGACAATGATATTGTCTCAATATTCAGACACCAAAAGTGCAGGTTAGAGTTTCGGGGAGATAGAAGGCAGAGAGAAAAGCTAAAGAGAACGAAGGAGCTCTAAAAATTTCTTACTTTGTGGAGTATCAAAAGATACTGTCTTGGGCTGGGGATGTGGCTCAAGCCGTAATGCACTCATCTGGCATGGGTGCGGTGCTGGGTTCAATCCTCAGCACCACATACAAATAAAATAAAGATGTTGTGTCCACCGAAAAATAAAAAAATAAAAAATAAAAAATTCTCTCTCTCTCTTTCTCTTTCTCTCTCTCAAAAAAAATACTGTCTAAAGTTTACAAAAATAATAATATGAGTATATTCAGTTTATAGGAATCAGCAGATCTAAAGCAATTGATGTTGGGAGGACTGGGARGCTGCCTGGTACCTTTACATCAGCAAAGAACTGATAAGTGAAGAATGAGCTTGTGAACTTGCAGAGATAAAAAGGTAATTAGGCAGAAAAATGGTTCAAATGGAACAACTGCAGTGGCTTCCAGGAGTTGACCTGAGGATGTAGAGATCCTTGTTTTTCGTCACTGAATAAGCTCTTCAGTACCCTTGRGACACCTGCACATGTCTTTGATAAAGTTGAAAGAATATGTTGAGTGCCTGCTCTAGGCCAGGCATGTACTGGGGGCTGAGGATACAGTGATGAGCAAGTCCTTGTGCCCAGGTTGCTTTCAAGCCTGTGAAACATAGCAGAYGCTCCCATCTGATTCTTATTTACATTTCACCCAAACTCTAGTCATTTGTGTCTGACCTCAGATTCAYTGTTCCTGACCTCAAATTCACTGCATCCAAGACATTGCCCACAGGAGAGGGTGCTGTCTTCTCCCTCTGCCATCCTGATATCTTATTGTGATGACTGGAGGGCTCTCCATCATGCCAGGTTAGAGGCTGCTTCKCTAGTCGCCCCAGGTCCATCCCTGCAGACCTCTATCTGAGCACATGGTCTCCTGCTCACCCTCCTTGGTTTCCTTGGCAGGATGTGCAGGTTGCTCACTTGGAGTCTCTTCTCCTCGRCATGGAGCCTGGCACAAGGTAGATRCTCAGCAAACGTCTTTGCAAAAAAATCCGAATTCTTCATCCCTCTGCCAAACCTGCAGTTGATCCTGCTTTTCTTGTCTCAAGTTCACACGCTGCAAGGCCAGACTTCGTGTGGCCAGTGCTATTCTGCATGCCCGACACACCCTCTTTCTTTTCCAGGCTTTCCTCTCTTGATAACTCCCTTTTCCTCTCCTGATTCATCCTTTGCCCGAATTTAGAAACCTCTGTCACCTGTGACTCCCCCACACTTCTGTAGCTCCTGACCTTCCTTTTCCATCTCCACTGTTTCTCTCCTTGCCTCCCAATGCCACAGCCAACACAAGCCTAGCACTGACTTCCTGCTGGTGCTTGAGCTGAGTGCTTTGCACACGTTGACTTCACAGCTTCCTTATGCACGGTGGCTATGACTGTCCTCTCAGAGATGAGAAAACTCCCATGAGGTTGCACAGCGATAAAGAACAGCACATAACCTGAAGGCAAGCCTTGCTTGCTCTGAACCCTGGGATGATTCTCATGGTGCTATTTGAAATCTCTTCAAGCCTTTAGTGGAAACACTGCAACCATGTTCTCCTTCAATCTGGGCTTCTCACTGATCCCTGAGAGTCAGCTACATAACACCTGCCTCCAGTCACACCAGACTCCACTGTGGCCTCAGAGAGCTTGTGTGGTCTGACCTCTGCCTTCTTCATTTTTTTTTTCTTCTTTTAATTTTTTGGCATCCTGCTTCCTGTCCCTTGCCTCAAGGTCAAGTTAACCCAGAGTATGGCAGGCTCTTTTGTGCCCCAGTGCTTTTGCACATGCKATTATATTTGGAAAACCCTCTCCCAGAAAAATCTTAAACATGCCTGAAAGCCCAACTCTACCCAGTGTCATCTTCTCTGACAAACCAAGCTGTCCCACCTACATCTCAACTTTGTTGAGTCAATCCACTTTTCAGGGCCTGGCACAAGAGTCTTGGAAGGGGTGCAATAAATGTCACAGGAGTGATTTATGGTGCCTGTGAAAATTCCTTAACCATGGATTTTGGGAACGGAGAGAGCTGCTCTCTGGCACATGTTTAATACTGGCTCAAGTCTTTCTTCCAAGAAGAAAGTCCTAATTTCAGTTGCGATCTGAGTCCTCAAGTGGAAAAGGTGACCAATAAATACTGGTTGAAAATCGACTGCTCCTTCCTGTAAAGTTCCAAGCATCAACCAAGGAGTTGGACGTGAGTTTGGGGGAGTATCTGCAGTTAGGAATAATTCGTGAGTCGTTTCCTGGACACACGGCGACTACCCTTTCCGTGGGTCCAGCTCCCTTCCAAGAACACCCTGAATTCAGCTCAAGAGGAGCAAGTGCGCRGCCGTGCACCTCATTAGGGGTGCTGAGGCCTCGGGTGGAGTAAGGGGTGTCATAAGGCTTTGGCGGGTCCACCTTCCTTTCGCGCGCCCCAGGCACGTTCTGTGCAGCCCCCTCCCGCTCGCTTCCCTCCCCCGCCCGCGCTCGCCCCGCCGCCCTAGGCGCCCACCCTGCCCGGCGCTCCCACCTGTCAGCCCCATGCTGACCGAGGCTCTGTCTGGGAGGCGGGGAGCGGACTGGTGGCTGCTGCCCCTCCGCCTCCAGTGCGCTCTTTGGTGCGGGGGGGATGTGGGGGCACTGGAAATACTGGGGGCGCTGGCGCCTGTGATGTCGCCGCTTCTGTGACGTTCCCGCCGCGACTCCTTAGGCACGSGAACTGCGCTCTGGCAGATCACACAGAGGGAGGGTGTGGTAAGCGGGAGGCTGCTAGACTGGACTCAGCACCGCTCTGGGCACCAGACGCTGCCCTTCCGTGGGTCTAGATCCCTCCAGAACCGATGAATCAACTCAAGCTGCATAGGTGTGCAATGCACCTTCACTGTGCACAGCTATTGGGGGTGTGGAGCCAGATCATTCAAGGTATCCTCTGTCCCTGCCACATTGGTCCTCAGCCAGACCCTGCTCTGTGTCCAAGGAACTCATTCAGGCAAAGTCACCCTCCACCCCCATGCAGATGCTCATGAGCAGCTGGAAGTGGGAAGAGCCCCGGCCCACACTCAGTTCAGTTCAGTGGATGCCAAGCCTCAGGGAYAGGARGGATGAGCTGAGGCATGTGACATGCACCCACTTCTCCGTGCCTGGTCAATGCCTAACATCCCACCCCTAGTTGCCTTTGGGAGGTACTGGGCTGACCGCCTCGGCAAAGTGTGCAGGTCTGGTGTCTTCTCCCTCCCCTGCTTGGCCCTGCAATTTCCTCAGGGATTTCCTTTCTACCATGGGCAGGGCATCTTGCCTAACTGGTCTGAATGGATAGTCCAGAGATCACRGGGTCCAGAGAGCAGGCAGGAAAAAAAGAGACACCCGTGGCTTAAATGATGTCATCACCCCAAACTTTATTATTCACAGAGTTCTCTCTAAGCCAACACTGCAGCTCGGAGGGGCTTGGTTCTTCGTGTACTGGGGCCAGCTCTCCCTGGAGCAGTCTGGCACCATGCTAACAGCTGGACAAAGGCCACRTTGGCTGGGTGGGGGATGAGCTGCTTCTGAGGAGGGATCTTATGCCCCTCCCTGTAACAATTCACAGTTGATTTAATGCTACATGAGTCTCGAGCAGCTCCCCGCAAATAAGAGGCTGAGCAGGGGCCGTGGGTAGGGAGTGCTCACCTTAAATGCACATGGACAAATGCACATGGAATCAAATGCACATGGACAGTCAAGACTGAGTCCCTTCATCCATAMCCTGGTCTGCTTGTGTCCGTGTAGAGCCACTGCCCTCCTGGAAGGCAGCCAGGAAAGTGCTTGAGGTCAACGGAGTGCAAAGTGTATCTGGCAGTGCCCTGGGACCAGGGGCTGGGCAGGGCAAGTGTACTGGATGTTGGCAGTGTGGCTGGGGAACAGCCCCTATGCGGTGCCCCAACTGCAGACCTTTCCTTTCACGTGGGTCTCATGTTCGATCTTCACTTGTCTAGACAAGGGAACTAAGTGTCAGCCAGTCTGTGGCAGGGCACGGGGCCTGCTCTTCTGGGGAGCAGCAAAGGGACACGTGCTTGTGCCTAAGGGCTGAGAACCACTTCACTGCAATACCTTCTTTGGTTCTTGGCTGAACCAGAGTTTGTCTTAGGAGCTGAGCTGTGACAACCTACAAAGGTGGTGTGTTCTACCAAGGAGGCTTCCTTCCCAGTGCTGGGCATTTCTTCCTCCTCTATCCCAAAGGGGGTCTGCAGCCAGGAAGGCCAGGCAAGAGGTCAGAAGCCCCCACTAATGCAAGGGCAGGAACACCTGCTGCTCTGGTCCTAGATGACCTGGGCATGGGCCCTCACACTCTCACACTTGCCTGGGGCCAAGGGGCCCAGGGCTCTCTTGCTTCTCCTGCCCCTGGCCGGAAGTTGCTTTCTTCTGATTGCCAGCAAGTGGTCACTGATCCAAATGGGTCAGGCCAACTCGTGTGAAGCAATGCAGAGAAGACCCTCTTGGTTCCCAAGGGAAGAGTCCTCCTGCCTTCCTTCCTCTGTCTCCTGAGATGACTGGAGCATTTTCTTGGCAGAGGTGGCAGGACTCAGGTGAGAAGTCCAGGAGGGCTGGTGTTTTTGCCCCCACTTTGCTGCTGCCAGCCCCTGGACCCACTACTGAGTCAGGGGACAGCAGATCCCTAGGAACAGGCTGGATCGTGTTTCAGGGTGGCATTGAGCACCCAGAAGAAAGGTTGCTCCAGGTGGACTGGAGCTAGCTGTGGAAGGCAGGGCTAGGGCCGATTCTCTAGCCGGCCATGCTTGACCCTCCAGCTCCAGGCAAAGCTGCCATCAGGGGCCAGGGTGCACTGCAGATCGATGCCCGAGTCGGGCACCTCCATGTCATAGCGAACAGGCTGCCCGTCTTTGGTCACCAAGCTGAAGGCTGCAGCTGGGATCTAGGGGTGGAACAAACCAATGGATTGAGACAGTGGCACAAGGCTCAGAAGTCACCTAGAAGTGTCAAACTGATGGGGTCCCCAACCACCCTGGGAGACATCTTCCTCCAGCTGAACAGGCAGCCTCTCATTCTGGAGAACCAGRCGAATCCCACCTGGCTCCTCAATCACTGAGACATCTGAAGCCACGTCCAACTTTTCTTGAGTGTGCCATTTCTATTTATTTAAAAGCCTTCTTCCTGGAGAGTGGGGACTCTGCCTCTAGGTGTGTAACCCCCTTACCTGGCTGCTGATGCCCGTTGCGATGTCTCCCACCTTGACCCGGTGGAACTCCCGTATGTGCAGCTGTTCACCATTGAGAGACTGTATTTGGACTTTCACACCTAGATGGCAGGCAAGGTGACAGTCAGGAGGGCAGCTGTTGGCTTCCCAGGGAGCAGGGACAGGCAGGGGACGGGGGAACCTTTTGTTAGAAGTCACTCTGCTCTCTGTAGAGGGGAGCAGGTCCAGCTGTGATCAAGTGGCAGAGATGAAATTTAGGTTGGAGTGGCCCTCCTAGTACACAACTGCTTTAACTCTCAGTGGCCACCAACACCTGGAATTTAGCCTGCACATTGCTAAGAGCTGAGGTTGGCTCCCAGGGGGAAGCAGCACTCCAACTTGGATGCAGAACAGAAAGGAACTGAACACAAAGACTCTTCAATTAGATTGCGGGCAACACAGATTGCTTCCTGAGCTGAGATGGCCTTTGGCCCAGGCAGGGGGGACCTGCTGCCACGAATCACACCGGCCACAGCTGTAGGCTGATGAAGCCCAGCCACCACTCCATGCAACCAAGCTTGAAAATTATACATTGTCTTTCTTATCCTCTGACCTCAAATCCCTGGAGAAGAGTCCAGTGGACTCATCGCTGACTTCTTGGTTAAAATGCCCATGGATCCTATTTCCTTCTTTTTCCCTCAGAACACATTAACTACTCAGCTTCTGGACTCCAAGCCAGGAGAGTCTGCTCCCCTCCCCAAGCCAGAGGACCTTCTGGGACTCCATCAGCAGCCAATAAGACGACAATGACATTTCATTGTCCCACCAGGAAAGGCTTGTGGATGATTAGGGTCCTTGCCAAGGACCTCATGTTCAGGGTGCCCGGGGAAGGGGACATGAAACCCTATGTGACTCCCTAGCCCCAGGTAGCTCGGCTGCTGTGGGGCTGCTGAGCAGGTRAAAAGGGGACCTACCATTGAAGTAGCTCGGGGTGTCGGTGGGCCGCCCGCGGGCCAGCACCATGTTGCAGCTGGAGCTTCCAGCYTCCGCCTGGCTGCCCCATGAGTGTACACCGGAACTCAGGGTGTCCCGAGAGCTCTGAGAGGCCTTTGATGGGTTCTGAAACACAGGATTGGGCACAGATTCAGGGCCCTGAGTTCAGAGAACTATCTCTTGTCTTTGTCTCTTTTGGGACAAAAGTGGCCTGGACCCTCTGGGGAGATGAGGAGCTATCATGTCCTAGTCTGAAGGAGGGTAAGGTGTAGGTCTACAGGGGACCAAAGCCAACTTCCCTGCTCTCCCGTCATCCTCTCTTGCCCACCACTTGCATCATAGCCCATTCCCCAGCTGGACATAAAGCCACTACTCTGTGCCCGGGGCCAGGAGAAGCGTGACTCCCCGTCCATGGACAACTCACCTTCTCACTGTCATCTGACAGGGAGCGGCTGTCGATGCTGAGGCATGAAAGAATTTGTTCCTGCTCCTCCAGAGAAAAAGGTTGGGACAGGCTGTTCAGAAATAATTCTATAGGGAAAAGCAGAAAGTGAATGTGAAATGTTRGAAGGGCCCAAGGAAGGGGCTGGGAGAAGTCAGGCTGATGTACAGAGAAGCCCTGGGCCAGGGCCCCAGCCTGGCTGCCGTACCTATTTCCAGCTGCTGCAGCTCCAGCTGGGGGAAGGTTGCTCTCCGCTCTGGTGAGCTGGGGCTTCTGGCAGGCGCCGGGTCCAGGGAGGACAAAGGCAAGGGTTCCCACATGCCAGATTCCTCCTTGCTCAGGGCTGGAGACTTGTTCCGCTCTGGGGGCTCTGGTGGTAGAGGAGGCTGAAGCTTAGGGGCCCCTCCAGTGGTGTCCAYAGCTGGTGACCGCTCCCTTGGCTGGGCATGTGGGGCCTGGTGGCAGTTGGCTTGGTGTGGCGGTGGATGTCTTGGTTCTTTATATTCTCCCCTCCAAGGGCTCTTCAGACCTCCCACTATAACACAGAGAGCACATGAGAGGAGGTGAAAACACACAGCATAGATGCCGACCCCACGAGAATGGCCTCTCCTGAGTGGAAGGGGGCTAGAGGGGAGCAGAGTGGGGCTGCTGGGGCCCTGATGTGGAGGCAGCATGGGGGGCCCTGGAGGGGGCCTCTTCTGATGGCCCATAAAACAGGAATAGGACTGCATCTCTGTTTTTAATCTATTTTCCTTCTAGATGTTAGCACCAAATTTGAAAACTCCAGCAAAATCAGTTCCAGAGGATTTTGGTGAGTGAAGAAAAGATTAAAAAGGGCTCTGGGGGCTGGGAGTGTGGCTTAGAGGTAAAGCACTTGCCTAGCAGGAGTGAAACCCTGGGTTCCATCTCCACCACTGCAAACACAAAAAACAGCTCTGCAGCAACACCGACCCAGAGTTCCCAGGTAAAGAGCCACCCACTGGCTCTCTCGTCCCAGCCCTAGACTGGTGCTTCCCCAGGGCGCCATTTCTCTGGTGGGGGCAGTTCCCTGGGGCATCCTTATAATTGTAAATACCACTTGATTTTGGTGACAGGCTGTGAAAAGTCTCTGTTGTGTTTATTCCCCTTTCATTTCTATAGCCACTGCCTTTCCTCTATCCACATTGTTGTGTTCCTTTTGATTTGGTTGTGTTCTTGCAAAATATGTCATTTTCACTTGCTGCTTTTTTCTTTTTCTTCCTTTTTAGTAGTACTGGGGACTGAACCCAGGTTATCACATATGCTGGGCAATGCTCTACCATGGAGCTACCCTCCCAACCCTTTTTATTTTATTTTGAGACGAGGACTTGATTGTTCAGGTTGGCCTTGAACTTGTGATCCTTCATACCTAAGTCTCCCCAGGAGTTGGGATTTTGGGAGCGCCAAGCTCATTTATTGATTTTTTTTTTTTTT